CCACTGACAGATGAATGAATGGACAAACAAAACGTGGTATACACATATAATGGGATATTAATCAACCTTCAAAAGGAAGGTAATTCTGACACATGCTACAACATAGATGAACTCTAAGGACATATGTCACAAAAAGACAAATCCCGTATGACCCCACGTATATGAGGTACCTAGAGTAGTCAGATTCATAGAGACACAAGGAATGGTGATTGCCAGGTGCTGGGGGCAACAGGGGATGGGGAGCTACTGTTTAATGGGTATAAAGTTTCAGTTTTGCACGCTGAAAAGAGTTCTGGAGACAGATGGTGGTGACAGTTGTCTAATGCTGTGAATGTACTTAATACCACCGAAATGGGCACTTAAAAATGGATAAGCTGTTGCACTAGCTCCCATCTAGCTCCCATATATAACAGGCTAGAATTTAGGTAAAAAATTTTTAAAAACGGATAAGCTGGGGCTCCTGGGTGGCTCAGTTGGTTAAGCGACTGCCTTCGGCTCAGGTCATGATCCTGGAGTCCCGGGATCGAGTCCCGCATCGGGCTCCCTGCTCGGCAGGGAGTCTGCTTCTCCCTCTGACCCTCCCCCCTCTCATGCTCTCTCTCTCTCTCTCTCTCATTCTCTCTCTCAAATAAATAAATAAAATCTTTAAAAAAAACCGGATAAGCTGGTAAATTTTGTTATGTATGTTTTGTCATAATTACTAATAATTTTTTTTAAGAAAGAGTAGGCCTAGGGGTGCCTGGGTGGCTCAGTCGGTTAAGCGTCTGCCTTCGGCTCAGGTCATGCTCCCAGGGTCCTGGGATCGAGTCCCGCATCGGGTTCCATGCTCAGCAGGGAGTCTGCTTCTCCCTCTGCCCTTTACCCCACTTGCGCTCTCTCTCTCTCGCGCTCTCTCTCAAATAAATAAATAAAATCTTTAAAAAAAGTAAAGCCTACACAGATTTCACATTCAATGGCCACAGTGTCGATTCACCGCCATCCACACAGAATTTCTCTTAGCGGTGAGAGTAACTTCACACCTGTTCAATCACCACACATGCTTCATACTTCTCTGCCTCATTTTCATTCTCTCCTAGCAAACCTTACCAACGAGACCAAAAAATTTACAGTAGCTCCACTAGCTGCTAGTGTCCTGAAGGCCAAGGTCAAAGACACAACGTTCAAAGCCACCAAACAGTTGGGACATTCGGCCGCAAGCCAGAGGATGCCTACACGCTGGCCCTAGCCGCCACCGCTCCCGTGGGTTCTCCAAGGCACAGAGACGTAGAACTCAGCCCTAAGAGTCACACTGATCCCACACCAGTGAGGCAGGCTGAAAACAAGAAGCTGCCGAGCTCTGCTTTCCACCCCCCGACGCAGGTGCCTCTCCCCCTCCCGTTCAATGGACCGACAAGCGCTTTGGTGAAGGCGGACAGTGGTCTGCAAGGAAAATCAGCATCGACATCCAGTGGCCTCAGTGCATCGTGTGAGGATTTTGTTTTCTGTCTCCAAGGCAGGCCTGCTTTGCGTGGTATGGATTTTTGTTCAGAACCGGTATCTCCTTTTCTACACCCCGCCCCTGGCTCCCCCTGCTTCCCAGCAACTGTTTCTCCTAGAAAAACGCTCCCCAGCCTTCAGGGACTAGCCCTGCCCTTGCCTTGCCGGCATGGAGACCCTGTTGCTGTCCTCAAACCTCCATTTCCCCTTCTTCCATTGTGGGCTTTCTCCTTCTGGCACTACGGACGCTTTTGGCTCAAACGTTCTTCGGGGTGGGGGCTGTCCCATGCGCTGCAGGTACTTAGTGGCATCCCTGATCTCCACCCACCAAACCCACAATGTTTCCCAGCACTGCCAAATGTCCTGAGAGCAAGACTGTCCCCGGCTCAGCACCACTAATCTGTAGGACAGAAGCTGCAGGGGGGCCCATGGCCGCCCCGCTGAAAATCAGATTTCCCAGTCCGATCCCAGCCAACGACTGACAGAGGTGGGAGTACAAAAGGCTGGCCCCCAGTCTGAAGGAAGAAGGACCTTGCAGTGCCAACCGGTGAGCCACAGTCCCCCTCCCCACCACCGATTAGGCTGCCGCTAGGACCACACCCTTCCTGGGCTGTCATCCTTCGCCTAGACTGCTTCCCTCTCTCCCTTGCAGGGCATTCTCCTACATCCTACTGTGGGTTTAATGATATCCCCCAAAAGATAGGTTATCATCCTCACTCCCATCACTTCAGAATGTGACCTTACTTGGGAATAGGGCTGTTGCAGTTGTAATTATTTAAAACGGGAACATAATGGAGTAGGGTGGTCCCCCTCATCCAAAAGGACTGGTGTCCTTCTAAGAAAAGACAGAGATGCACACAGAGGTCATGTGATGACAGAGGCAGAGATTGGAGTGATGCAGCTATAAGCCGAGGGGGACGCCAAGGATGGCCGGCAACCACCAGAAGCCAGAAAGCGGCAAGGAAGGGTTCTCCCCTGTAGGTTTCAGAGGGAGCATGGCCTTGATCTTGGACTTCTAGCATCCAGACTGGGAGACAATAAATTTTTGTAGTTTTAAGCCTCTAATTTGTGATGTTCTGTCACAGCAGCCCTACAAACTAATCCACACCCAAATCCTTATTTCAAGCTCTGCTTCCAGGGAACCCAAACCTCCAACAACTGGCCTTTCTTCTCAGAGTGTAAATTTCAGAGCCAGCCTGAGATGGGAAATGGGAGTCTGCTCTTCCCTGGGCCAGTTTCCATGAGACTTTCTTTGAGTGAGAAGGAAGAAGGAGGGAAGGAGGGAAGGAGGGAGGGTGGCCGGTGGAAGAAAGAAATTCACTTCGGGGAATCCTTCCCTCCCGCCATCCTTTATTCATTCAACAAATATTACTGAGCACTAAGTACCACATGCCAGGCACTGTTCTAGGTGCAGGACATGGAGAAGGGTTTGCATCCTAGCAGGGGAGATAGACCATAGAATGTAGGTCTGTGGGATGATGGGAAGGGCCACGGAGAAAAGAAAAAGCAGGGGAAGGGGCCAGGGAGTGCCTGGGGTGGCGGCCACCGTGTCAGCAGAGGGGTGCGGCAGACACCGCCTCTGACGCCAGCTACAGACGGTCCCCAAGTCCTGCTTGGGCAAGGTATCCACTCAGGCAGATGGCCGCTTCCTGTCCCAGGCCTCCCGTGAGGCCGTGGGAGCCCACCCAACCCACGGGCAATGGGCCACAATGGCCCGAAGAGCCACCGTTGACGTGCCCTCCTTCCCTGGGTTCTCCTCACCCCTCGCTCCTGCTTCCTGGGATCACCTCCTAAATAAACTCCCTGCACCCAGGGCCTTGCCTTGGCCTCGGATTTTGGGAGAATCAAACTAGGGCAGACGGGCCGGGAAATCTTTGCTGAGATTAACATTTCAGCCAAGACCTAACATGGCAGCCAAGGCAAGGTGTGTGGATGTCCAGATTCTCTGGGTGTCCAGGGTCCTCCACGCTGATGTGTACAATCAAGCTGGCCATACGGAGTTGATTTTGTCCAGTGGGTCTCCCTCTTTCAACTGTGTAAGTTTCTTGATGGTTGAAAACCCAGTGATATCAAACATCGAGGAGGCTACATGGAAAGCATCCAGTACGTCCTGATCATGTGACGGGAAGGAGGATATGAGATTATAGCAAACACTGCTAACACTTGGACCACCACCTTCTGGTCCTGATCACTTCAGTGCACACGGGCCCCCATGTGGCGGCCAACTCTTGTGGTTTTTTTTTGCACCTGTGGATGTCAAAGTTCTCTATCTGTCAGAAATGCCAGGGGAGGAGCGTCTCCATCCCCCACAGCTCTCATTCAATGGCCGATAGGAGCTGGTGTATAAACACCCCAGCTCCCCCGCCCCTCCGGTGGGAAGACTCGTAGGCATGTGTCTAACACTGGCTTCCCATTTCCCCAGCAGGTTTCAGCGCCGTTCACCCACAGTGGTGGCCAGCCAGGTAATGTATACTTTATGTGAATTTCCCACTCCCTCCTGGTATGTCCTCTGGTGTCACCTCCCTAATAAATGACTTCCTTGGCCTTGGGATTTTCTTCTTCTTGGGGGATCCAAATGAAGAGGATAAATCTATCTTTGAATGGAAACACACCCCCCCCACACACACACACACAGAAGAGCAACCCCTCTTAGTCCCCATGTTTAAAACCTGTACTCAGGTGTGCTGCTGAATCATCAAATCTCTGACCGGTAGAGCTCAGCTTTGAAAAGCACCTTGGCGTGTCGGACATAAAATATATAATCCTGACTGCATTACACAAGATTGTCACCCTCAGCGTGAATGGACTAGACTGGCCTCCAACTGGCTGGGTCTTTTCCTGCCCTTGGGCTCCCACCCACACTGCGTGCACTGTCATCCTCCAGTCCACAGAATGCCCAAGGGAGGGATGCTCTCAGCCCACTGGGGACAGAGCCTGGTCCGTGGGTGGCTTCCCAAGCAGCCAATTGCCTGTCTGTGGGCTGGTAGGGGGAAAGAAGCCAATCTCACAATTTGCCTGAAAAACATCCATATATCATCCTGTTCTTCAGCCCTCATTTTATTTTTCCCAAATCAATTTCTGAAAGTCAAAATGACTGATAGCTTCATACCCTGGACAATTGTTCTCCTTATTTAATAACCTGGCATTGATGACAAAAAGCTCCCAGGATGGTGGTGGTTACATGAATCTATACATGCGATAAAATTTCATAGAACTCCATAAACACACACACACACAGTGGTGCATGTAAAACTCCGTGAAAATTCAATGAGGTCCGAAGCTCCGTTGCCAACGTCACCTTGCTGGCATTGCTAACGCACTCGGGTGCGTTAGAGATTTATCACTGGGGCTGCTGGGTGACGAGAAAAGAACTCTGTATGGTGTTTGCAACTGCTTGTAAGTCAAAAATTATTGCAAAATAAAAAGGTTTTTTAAAATGCAAAGACGATTTAAATAATGAAATGAAAATCATTTTTTTTTTTTTTAAAGCTCCCAGCAGGAGACAGCGCCAGCCCACCCCTTACCTGAGAACTGGGGACCAGCGCCTTCCACCAGTGCCCGCCTTTCACCAGGTCAACCTCGCACAAAGGGACGGACACCTTCCCAATGACACAGTGGCGGGAGAACTTATCAAAATCCACCACGGTCAGCAGCAGGGTCCTCCTCTGCGCTTCTAGGAAGGGGATCTCAAAGGTGTAACGCTCCTCAAACACAGGTTTCTGGGTCTTGCGTTTGACCCCCGTCTGCTTCGAGTTCTTCTGGTCCGGCAGGAGACAGATCTTGACGTAGGGGTTTGAGTGCGCCATGTCCTGGCGTGAGCCATCATGGGAGATGGGGGGTGGCAGGTCCCTGGCCTCGATCACCCTCACCGTCAGGTGGTTGTGCAGCAGGTCGTACTGGGTGCTGAAGTGCAGCATGCCCAGTTGGTACTTGGACAAGATCTCCTCATCGGTCAGGAAGTCCACATCGTCGCTGTTGGAGTCTAAGGAGTACAGCTGGGGCTCGAACTTTCTGAAATAGTCGTCTGGGGTATAAGTCCGTCTGAGCACCGAGGGCTGGATGGGCTCCTTTTTGGCGCTGAGAACGCCAAACTCGATGGGTTTAATATCAATGAGCGGGGAGCTGGGTCGTCTGGATTCAAGACCTAAACAGCCGCCAGAAATAACAATTAACACTGCCACGTGTGGGACCAAACCTGGGCCACTTCATGAAACTGGCAACATTTCCTACATTCTCATGTTGTTCACTGTTTCCTAAATCTGTTTTGCCATCTGCTCTCCACACCTTGAGATCCTCTTATGTATTCTCTGAGAGGCAACATGGCGGCATGACCATCCCCAACACAACCAGGCACTGTTCTCAACACACTGACATATCAAGTCATCGGATCTCCACAAGGTATCTGATAATGGCAATCCCTACTTGACAGATGAGGAAACAGAAACTCGAAAGAGCTTTCTGGAAGTGACACAGGTAGTAAGAGGAAGAACTGGGAGTCAAGCCCAGCCTGTCTGGTCCCAGAGTCTTGAGGCTAACCGTGACCCTATACTGCCTCCTCTTCCGGAGAGTGGACTCTGGAGCCATAATTCCTGGGACTCAGTTTCCACATCTGTAAAACGGAGTCAATCATAGCACCTGCTTCAAAGATTATGGTGATTCAAGGAGCCATGCATGGAAAGGGCTCAGCACAGAATGTGTGCACGGTAAGAGCTCGCCAAATGGTAACTACTGTACTTCTTCAAGGATCGTATTTGGACCTCCCCACTTGTGGGGTGCCTCTCCCCTCCCCATCAACCAGCAGAGTTCATGACTCCCAAGTCCTTCTCATTCCTTGATTCTAGTAATGAGCTCATGGAATTTTGTTTTAAAAAACTATTTAACTGAGGCATTACTGACATACAAAAAAAGCTGAGCTTGGAGGTAAGTACGCACCCGTGAAACCATCACCACACTCTGTGCTATACATATATACCCACCACCTCCCAAAGTGTTCTCCTGCCTTCTTTATTTACTTTATTTTTCTGGTGATAAGGACCTTTAACATAGGATCAAGTCTCTTAGTAAAATTTTAAGTATACAATATTGTTAACTATAAGTACTGTGCTGTACAGTAGAGCTCTAGAACTTCTTTATCTTGCATAACGGAAAGCAACACCTCCCCAGCTCCCCATCCCTGCAGTCCTGGGAACCACACTTTCCTCTCTGCTCCTAGGAGTCTATCAGATTCCTCATATAAAGCAGGGTCATGTAGCATTCGTTCTTTCATGACCTTCTTGTTAAGTGCCCCAACACCTGTCTTGTCCGCTAAAATCATGAGACTTTGATCTGGTGCATGGCTGATACTCTGATAACTATGTGCTAAATGATAATCATCTGTGTGTAGAGCTGTGCAGGAGACCTAGGAATCATCTAGACAGGTGCTATTCAAGAGAAATACAGTGGGGTTCAGAAATACAAATGACATAGGTAACATAAGGTCTTCCAATTTTTTAAGAGTGCAAAGAAACAGGTGAAATTAATGTTTTCAACATATAATCAAAATGAAAACGTTTCAGTGAGACAGTGTAAATTCTCTTTTATTTCCTGGCTTCAAAATCGTGGGCACGTAACACATACAGCATGTCTCCACTGGGCTCAGCCCCAGTTAAATGTTCACCAGTGATGTGTGGCTGGTGGCTGCCGTACTGCACAGCGCAGGTTGGGAACAGGCCTCTTGCTTTACAGATGGAAAGACTGAAGCCTAGAGAGGCCTCACATCCCCTCTGTTTCACTCTTTTGAGCCCCTGAACTTTTCTCTACTTCCTCCCCTGCCCCCCATCTACCCCCAGGAAAGATCAGACACCAATATTTCCACCTGAGCGGATTTACTTCAGGAATTTTAAGCTTTTCCCCCCCTCTGTTAAGTGAATTGCAGACAGCTGAATGAGACAGCAGAGATCCTTTCGGGGAGTGAAAGGAGGCTGGGGGTCTTTGGGCTTTATACTCCTTTTCCCTCCCCACCCAAACCATGCCATCTGGTCAAAGACAGATGCTGTACATCCGAGTGGACCAACTGGGGGGCTTGTGGACCCTATTTGACCTAGAGATACATCTTGTCTGGGTTTAAAGCTAAAGAAGTTTCATATAAAACCCCAGATCGCCAGTTTCTCTTTAGAAAGGGCAGGCAATACGGAGCCCACAATCTTGCACCCCACCCCCCAGCAAGAGCTGAGTAACATCTGCCCCTTTCAGTGGGGCACTGGCTTCCCAAATGGCCACAGTCCCCGCCCGGCCGCAGTAACTGAGGCTGAGTCAGCTGCCACTTGTCACTGCATTAGAACGAGCCTCAGCTCTGTCCAACCCTCTCCAACTCATTCATGGACACAACCCACCTGGCCCCTGAAGTTACTTGAATTTGCAAGCGCTGACATACAACACGGGAACACCCATCTTTTGGGGTCTGAAATGATAACATGCTGACCACGTCAATCAACTGAACCAGTTCAATGAAACTTTGTGATGAGGAAAAAGAAAAATCGATCAAGTAGCTGCTTCCGGCTGAACTCAGCAGAAATCAGGTGCAACGCACTCTGGTCACACGGTCATTATCTCTCCATCATCCCGTCTCCCAAACTGTCATCCCACTCTGCCCCCTCCCCAGAAGACAATCCCCTCCCTCACATCCTTCCTTGGGGATGCTGCCGAGTGTCTGGGAAAGCCAGCTCTCCTTTTGTCCTGGGGACCTGGCTAATGGGATTTTAATTCGTGAATGGAGGGGGAATGGCACAGGATTTCGTGAGCCACGATCCCTAGGCAGTCACAGCAAAGACGCTTACTTGAAATCCTTCGGGTCAGGCTGTACGTAGACTTTGACGTGTCTGAGGATGAGCATCTTCGATCTGGGGAGTTGGTCCGTGGGGTCAGAGGGACTTCACTGGCTGTGTGGACAGAGTCCCCGTCCTTGTCACTGCTCCGGCCAGCCATCCTATAGGAAAGGAAGAGGTCTCAGTGGTTGTCAAAAAATCTCCAGGGACTGGCATCCCTGCCCCTGGGAAGACAGACCCACGACGAAAGGGCTCTCAGATCCAGCTTATACAACTTGCAGTAATACAAACCTGAATCAGTGCGGCAGCCCTAGACTCTTAATAATGCCTTACTTTTTGCACAAAATGAGAAAGGATATAAGTACTTTCTGATTTAGAACCATCTGTCAAGGACGGTGGGGAGGGATATGTACCTATTCAGGTTACTGCCACATGGGGGCGCCACGTTGACTAAGTCAAGCCCAGACCTGTCGATCCTCAGTCTGGAAGGAACCACCAGGTTGTCTATACCCATCTGAACTCCTCCGAGTGGCTTTCGGTGGGAAAGGGCCTGCTATTCCAACCCTCACTGTGCCTATACTTTAGCATCTTCTAAAAGTATCCTATAACAGGGGCGCCTGGGTGGCTCAGTCGTTAAGCGTCTGCCTTCGGCTCAGGTCATGATCCCAGGGTCCTGGGGTCGAGCCCCACATCGGGCTCCCTGCTTGGCGGGAAGCCTGCTTCTCCCTCTCCCACTCCCCCTGCTTGTGTTCCCTCTCTCGCTGTGTCTCTCTCTCTGTTAAATAAATAAATAAAATCTTTAAAAAAAATAAAAATAAAAAAATAAAAGTATCCTATAACAATGTCAACTTGAGAGTTCTCTGAGTGCCAGGGCTAAAGCTACAAAATGGCCCTGAGAATCAATGACTTAAGAGCAATAGTTTGATGTGAAGGAACAGCTAAAAATGAGCAGCCGCCGTGACTGATTCAATGTGCTCCCAATGAGGACGAAAAATACTAAAAGAAGAAAAAGCACTGGGTCGGGGGTGGGGAGATACAGGGTAGCAATTAAGAGCACAGCCTCCTGGTCTGAACCCTGGCTGGGTGACCTTGGGCAAGGCCCTTCCTTTCTCTGTGCCTCTATCTACCCATCTGCAAAATGGGAATAATAATAGTACCCACCTTAGATGGTTGCTCTCAACACTGAATGAGTTAGCACATATAAAATGCTTAGAACAGTTCTTGGTACATAGTAGGTGTGTGCTCAATACATTTTAGCTGGCATGATAACAATCTTTAAGATCCCCCAAATCCCCAAAAAGCTAGGTAAGGATGCTGGGGGGGCGGGGAAGTTGGTGGAGTGGCCAGGAGATGGATGCTGCTATTGACACAGCCCTAAGCGATTGTGGCTGTAGATGAATACCTTCTGAGACTACATCCCCCCCCCCCACCCAGCTTGACATTTAAGCCTGTGCATAAGCTAGTCTTGAAAAATGCAAGTTTCCAATTCTAGGAGGTCTTTAGATGCATCCTGTGCATGAAATGAGACGGATCTGATGTTCTTCCAAAGCAATGTAAGGATCACAGCCAGGACCGGGCACGTTATGGGGGGCAGGGGGGTGCGGGGGGAATGCCCAGTCCCTGCTTGCCTCCCACTCCTGGTCTGTAAAAGGTGCACGCAGCAGATGAAATGGGGGGAGGGGGAGTAGGGGAAGGCACAGAAATGCAGCCATATTGTATCATTCATTCTTCTCTCTCCCTTAAATGAAAGCTGCAGCATCTTCCAAAGAAGGTGGAACCACCTTGGGCACCCCCACCTGCATGCCTGTCTCCTGGAGGGCCACGGCCATATGTCACTGCAGCAGCCACCTCCAACCTGTTAGGTCCCATCCAGTCTTCGGGGCTCACCTTAAGTGCTGTCACCCCTGAAGCCTCGGTTGAGTCCTCTCGGACAATGTCTGAGCCACCCTTGCCTCCTCTGCACCCACCCGGCTTCCCAGCCCTTCCTCCAATGCACTGAGCTGAGCCATGCTGTGCCCTCTGCCTGGAATGTTCTTCCTGTCTCATCTGTTTGGTTCCTTCTCATCAGTCAGGTCTCAGCCTCAACAGCACCTCCTCAGAGACGCCCCACCCTGTCCCTATCACCTCCTCCTACCCCATCAGCCCTTCTTTCCCTCTGCAACAATGCACATAACTCATCTTTAGTTGTGGCTTATCTTCTGCGTCTGACACTAAGTCCTTGCTCAGTGTCTCTCATTCACCACTGCCGACCTCGCCCTAGCACGGCGTCTGGCATGTGTAGAGTCTTCGTTTATCTTCTCAGTAAACGAATGATTGAATTCACCCTTCTTGTCATTCTTATCTGATTTCATCTTGTCTCAAAATGATCTGAGTGCGTATCTTGCCCACCCCCCCCCAGCAGGGTACGCTCCTTAATGGGGCGATCTATACTTATCTTGATCGAAGGTACCAGGTGCTAAGCACCAAGTGTGTGCCAGGCACGGTGCTCAATGCTCTGTCTGAACCATCTCATTAATCCTTAAAACAATCCAGAGTGTACTTGTTATTAACAAGCCTCACCCCCTTTACAGATGGGGGGGCAGGGCGTGGAAGGGAAGCCTAGTGGGGTGGGGGATGGGATGGATAATTATTTTGCATCACTATTAAACTCCCAGTGAATACCAGACTCCGAACGGCATGCCCTAAACTACTGAGGTGGGTGTCCCTTATGAGGCCTGTCGGAGCTGTGTGTAGAGTAGGTCCTCGATACACGCTTGATGGACAAAGAAATGACCTGACTTTAGTCAATGAGCGTCTTTCTGGCATCGCTCCAAAAAGAGCCAGTCGGACTATACAGTTTTCCTGACCTTCACCAGTCCAGCCCAGCCAAGGAAAGCTGGGGGACCCAAATGACAGGAGCATATCTGACAATTAATGGTGTATCCCCTAAAATCCCCCACACAAAGTTCTAGCTCATCTGCCACAGGCCGTCCCACAGAGAGGCATGTCCTGTGGTTCTTAGCTCAAATGTCACAGTGGGAACGGCACTGCGAAGCCTGTACACTTGACATTTCTACTCCCTGTCTGTTTGATAACATGCAACTGCCCACTTGGTAAATAAATCTGGCGAAAGCACAAGCTGTAAATTCACTTTTTGAATGATTTAACCCACCTCCCCTTTACAGACTTCTCTTAACATTTTGCATTATGTTGAGTGCCAAAAATGTACTAAGTTGCTACCCAGGATTCAAGATATTCATCCTGAGAAGCACAGAAAGTCACGTACCGTTGTTCAGGCTTTAGACTGCAAAGCTCTAGGTGGTATCATTCATAACGACCGCCAGGTGAATGGGGCCTTCCAGTGTTGTGCGGTGTGTCGGCCGTGCTGGGAAGGTTCCAGCCCTCTTCTCTACTTGTGGCAAAACCAAAGTAAGTGTCTTCCCAGAGGGTCCCCACCCCTGGCCCCCAGAAAGAGTCCCCCGCTTGCACAATGGGTCAGCAGCCAGGGTAAAGTGCAACTGTCCTCCAGCTCAGTGCTAGGACCTAGGCCATGCATCTGTAATACTCAACATCTGGGCATCTGGGGCAAACAGGTACCTGACTATGATTTCAGGGTCTATCAGGATTCTCCACTGGTTCAGAGGCCAATTCAAATTCCTTGATCTGGCATTCAAGACCCTACAAGACCTGAGCTTGCAGGCTCATTTTCCATGATTCCCCCCCACTCTTCCTAGGTGCTGTGGAGTTTGCCCAACCTGGGTCCATTCCCTCCTCTCTGGTTACAGCACCCAAACTGTCTATTACAGAGATCAGCAAACTACGGGGCCCAATCTGCTGCCTGTTCTGGTACATGAAGTAAGACTGGAACATAGACACGCCCATTCATTATAATGTCCCACCTGTGGCTGCTTTCACACTTTCTAGGAGTGGTTGTGACAGACTAAGCCCTTTCTAGGAAAAGTTTGCCCACCCCTCGTCTGCTAGCTCGGTTCATGTGTGTCAGGTGGGAATGACCCTTTCCCTGGTTCCAGGGTGGTCAGACAATCCAGGCATGATCCTAGCATCATTTCCTCCAAGCAAAAGTGACTGGCTCAAGTGATTGGCACATGACCCAAAACAGAGCAATGAGAGCCCTTCCTGGTTGGTTTGCTGCTACTGAAGCAAAGAAGAAAGCAGCTTAAGAATGAGGCCAATAAAGGGGCGCCTGGGTGGCTCAGTTGGTTAAGCGTCCAACTCTTGATTTCGGCTCAGGTCATGATCTCAGGGTTGTGAGACTGAGCCCTGCATCGGGCTCCAAGCTGGGCATGGAGCCTGCTTAAGGTTCTTTCTCCCTCTCCCTCTGCCCCTCCCCGCCCCCAAAAAAGAATGAGGCCAATATAGAAGAAACAGAGAGAGCAGGAAGGAGAGAAGGCACAAATGCATGCCCATGACAACATCTGACCCCTGGATCCAGCTATGCCTGAAGCCACTGTCCCTGGATATTTTTTTCCATAATGAGACTCTAGGCAGAACTGTCATATGGGTGTGCAGGGTGTGAATGCACAACTCTCGGGGGCAGCTGGGCTTATGTACCTGCCTTATCTCCTGTACTAGATTTAGAATCTCCTGAGCACAGTGACCGGACTCTATGTAGTCTCTGCATCCCACAGTACCTGGCACATGAATCATACTTGAGAAATAGTTACCAGAGAAACTGAGATTAAGTTTTCAACCAGATGACTGGCACTTTCAGGATTCAATTTCTGCCTGTAAGTTTGTCAGTTGGTCAATAACAACTTTTTGGAGTGAACAACACAGATAAAAACCCCACCCTCGCAGAGCTGGCACTCTTCTGAGCATGGCTTTCAAGATACCAGATGGGCTGAGCCAACCTCTGCCACACAGGGCACTAGATAGTGGGAATGATCTCTCGATCATTCACCAAACATCTCAACTCTATGCACACCTGCAGGATTCAGGTTACAACCCATGACTAATGAAAACATTTCTTACCACTGTCTTTACACCGGTTTAAAGAATCTCCATCAATACCTACAAATTCAGAAACGAATACTTACTACTCTGTGAAGCATGTTATGTGCACATCTCATTACTCTGAACCACGACCCTATAAAGTAAGTTCTATTACTGTTCTCACTTTACAGACGAGGAAACGGAGACCAAACAGGGTAAGACGAATCACTTACGTTTATGATTGCCAGCCAGGCGTCAAGCATTTGTAGGGGTTTTCTGTGTACTAATTCCGGCAGTCACCACAACAACCATATGAGATAAACCCTATTATTTTTATCACCCCCATTTTACAGATGGGAAATCAAGGCACAGAGCTCTAACTACTTGCCCAAGGTCACAGAACTAGAAAAAAGTAGGAGACACAGGATCTGAAGGCACAGAGCCTGACATAGAGCCATTGTGCTATGGAAACATCCGATGCTTTCTTCTAAGAAGAGCAAATGAGACATGACCCCCAACTTGGAGGGAAAGAGGGGATATCATGGACTTCCAGAATCTCAGCTCAACGATTTAGCTGGAACAGAACTGGGTTCCCCCTGAGCCTCTGGCTGTGGGCCCTTGCACTGCCTCCTGCCCTCTCGGGGCCTCCCGCTCTGCGCAGGAGAGCTGGACTCGCTGGTGGCCAGGCCCTTCTAGGCGCTGGCCTTCTAGACTCAACCCAGGCTCTCTGGCCACGCTCCTCTCTTAGCCACCGAGAGGTGGACCAGACACGTGGCTGAGAAGCTTCAAAACTGTGTTCCCAAAATATCTGAGCGACTGGCAGATGGAGATGTTGTATGCAGGCGCGGGAGGAGCACGAATTGGAAATAAAATGAAAGATGCCAGAGAGAACATAAACAGCGTTGGAGGACAGGATGGAGCCTGGAGGTGCTTTTCTGCTTCCCCGGGTCTGAAGTCCTTGTTCAGACTGGCAAAAAGGCACCTGTCTGTCCATGCGGTCTACCAACCATCCAGCAGTTTTCACTGAGCATCGACTCCGTGCCAGGCACTGGGTCAGGTGCTGGGATCGTGGGTCATACTGACTTGGATGGCCATCCTCAGAATTTCGACATCCCTTGAAGAATGCAGATGCTCACAGATCTCTTCTTCCACTTGGAACAACACTCGACATGATGAAAAGCGCGCACAGGCTTAACACTGCACCCTTCGCGTCTCAGACGAACCGAGGGGGACCTAGCTAAGCCAGAGCCCGGCCACCAGCTTGCCAAACAAAATGAGAGGCACAGAGCAGGTCCCCGTCGGCAGCAAAGAGGTCCACGGACACTCGGTGTTTCCCCCTCTTTCATACCCCGAACCCTCCTGCCCGCACCCCCTCACACAAACTGAGCCAAGAAAATGTCTTGAGATCACTTTCAAGGAAGTTCCGAGCAGTTTTACTTACAGCCAGGGAGGAGTCTGGGCAGGGAAAGGTCCCAGAATTTCAACTTCATCCTCACTCGACTGGCAACAGCTGGACTCATAGCACTTCTCACAGCAGTGCCTGCAAGTCCATCTGCACAGTAGCAGATCGGAGATTCTAGAAAGAAAACCCTGAGGCCATTGGGGGAGGTGGGCAGTGGAGAGGGGGAGTGGGGGGGGGGGGGGGGGGGGGAGGGGAGGAGAGGAGGAAAAGGAAAAACACCCGAAAATTACAAGCAGCCGATCCCTGCTGAGAAATAAGGACATTCAGGAGGTCTGTCCCTGCTGCTGAACACTTAGAACAAAATGTTTTCTGTTTCTATTTACCAACTGCAGCCACAGAGATGGCAAACACCAACTTGCTGGAGCCGTTAATAGTGAGCAAAACATTTGCAGGTATTTTCTCTGGTAGTTTATGTGAGTGTCTTTCTTGACAGGTGGGTGGTTTATACAACACCGTGAGGGCTATACAATATGTTCTCGAAACACAATGAATATTACTCTGTCTTCTTGAAAGCAAAGCAAAAAAAGACTTTAAAAAAAAAATCATCTCAGTGACACGAAAGTAAACAGAGGTAACCAAACGGAATAAGGACGGGGGTGGGGAGAGCAATCTAGCCTGTCTACGAGTGTCTCCTCTTCAGGATCTCCCTCCTTCCATAGAAAGGCATCAAAACCGTGCCATTCTAAACATCCAGTCATTGTTCAATACTGAACAGCCCCACAGCCCCACATAAGACTCTGAAATGAAAGGCAAGCACCTCTTGATCAGAAACCAGACCAAAGGAATCATCGAATTAACCCACCTCGTTTAAAGGTTCCAACTGCCCTTTTAGAGATCCACGAAGAAGCCAAGGGGCGTCGGGGGTGAGAGGGTTACAAAAAGAGAGACAAGACCAGTTTAGCAATATTCCAGCAACTCAGAAAAGAAAAAAGAAAAAGAAAGAAAGAAAGAAAGAAAAAAAAAAAAAAAGCCCTGCATCTTTCCACTTACCATCCTGGGAAGGGAGCTGACTCCCTAACAAGGTGCTATCTGCGGGGCTGCTGGTAGCCTCCTGGCTAACCAACACCGAATAAATGGGAAACTTTAGCATTTCGATTTGATTTGCACCGTATGCTGTTATGAATCAGAGCGGGTGGATAGATAGTCATTCTATCCAATGCAGCCACACTTCAGAAGAGCAAACCTTCCTATACAGAAATAGCCATGAAGCCAACCCAAAAGGACATGATTAGCTAACACGCAGGCAGACGCACAGTGGATGTGACTTGGCTTCCCCCCCCCACCCTCCCAGGGGCCCTACCTTATAATTCTGCTCCAATGGTGATGGTGGGGAGTTTCATATGACCACCCACAAACACAGGGAGCAGAGAAGGAAGCCATAATCTGGGCCTGGGAGGGGGTGGGGGGTGGGGCTACCTCACTTTTCAGCCCCACCTCCCATCAGGACTTCTCACCGGTTCCCAAGGCACAGACTCCCTCCCTCTGTGCCAGGGAAGAGTCGCAGTGGCTTAGGAATGAATGGGCCAAGGAAACCAGGTAGATTAGGAGTCCCGCATCCCAGCCTGGGAAAGATCCCGGGGATGAACTCAAACTCAGAATTTTGAATCAAGACGAAGAGTTATCCTCTTTTTCAATTCTCTCGCTCTCAAGGAGGAGGAGGTCTCAGTTTGGTACCATTGCATGTTAACATGTTTCTAACACTTGTACAACTCCCCCCCCACACCCCCATCCCCTCTTCCTTTTTAAACAGAGAGCAGACCTCAGCTCAGAGCCTTGGACATAACTAATTATGTGGCATTACTATCATTGTGTTTATTTTTCCAGTTGCCTTCTGTTTATATCAAGTGATCCTGGTTTTCTATTATGGTAGTGACATAAAGTTTCCTTTTCATATGATTTTAAGTTAAAAAAAGAAAGTGAGTCCATTTATAGGAAAAAGTATTAAGTAAATATAGTACAAGTGGTACACTTGTACTCATGAAAATTTCAAAATCCTTTAAGTGATAAGGGAATGGCTGCAGCTTGGGAAAGAAAGTCTCAGGCACTAATCACAGACTCTTCCAAAAGCAAAACTCGAACCACACACAGAGCAAGACCTGAGGATGCTCGGGGGCCACGCAGAGCTGAGCGGGTAAGTGTTAGTGCTGGCTTCACCACCAGCCAATCATGTGACTTGGGTAAGTCAGGGGGCCACTCTGAACTTCAGTTCCCTCTTTTCTTTAGTGGAAGGGCTAAACTAGGACTCTGACTATAAAAATGCTTGTGTGTGCTGCCCAGCTGCAAAATATCTGCACTCTTTCTGTGGCTTTATGAGAACAAGGTGGTTTGTCAAGACCAGTTGGAACCTATTAGGCATCAGAGACTGTCCTGGAGGATGCAACAGTGAAAACGCAGCAAAAAGCTATGCCCTCGTGCACTTACATGAGAAAGTGCTTGAAAATGCTTACAAAAAAGTGCAAGGATAAAGGGCTGCTTTTTCCTTGGAAAATAGTCCATGCCCATTCTTTCCATAGAGGGAAAGCATTTCCTAGGTGTGTGGTGATCAAAAGACACTGTTTATAAAACCACGTGAGTGGAGACAAAGGCCACCATAGGGCCCAATCATCCAGCTTTCTCAAACCCCAGGTACAAAATCAATGTCCGGGAGCAAAGAGAAACCAAGGAAGAGAAAGAGGGGAGGGAAGATGTTTTTATGTTCCCAGCATGCTAAGTCTTTCCTCACATGGAGTCCACTGGGTTCATGTATTTGACTGGAGAGAGGATCACTGGTTCAAGCCAGAAAGAAACAGGAAGGAGAATCCAGATATTCTAGAACAGATGTTGGCAAGCTATGACTTGCAAGGCTAAATCCAGCTCACAACCTGCTTTTGTATGGTCCTCCAGTTAAGGATGGTTTGTACATTTTTAAATGGTTGGGAAAACATCAGAAGAAAATGAATACTTCTTGACTAGCACACAGTATATGAAATTCAAATTTCAGTGTCCACAAATAGTTTTATTGGGACACAGCCACGCCCATACATTTACTATGGTCTATAGCCGTTCGATGCCATAGTCAGAGTTGAATATTTGTGACACAGACCATGTAGCACTCCAAGAAAAAAAATGTACTATCTGGACCTTTATAGAAAAAGTTTCATACCTTGTTCTAGAAGGAAAGTCTGTTTCACCAAGCCAGTCTCATTTTAGCTGCTTAACAAATCCCCCACTGATCCCCACCATCTCCCTTTTAGATCCCACCACGACCCCTAAGCAGCTGTGTGACCTTGGGCAAGTCACTAATCTCTGTCCTGAAGGTGGTTATTAAAAACCACAGAAGCATGTTCTAATATTGTGTATTTCTCACTGGATTGTGCATTCTGAGGGGCAGAGACTATGCTGTTTTCACAACTGTATCCCCAGCGCTCACAGGTGGTCACTCAATTGTTTGTTGAGTGACTATTGAATAGCCCCACAAGATTCAGCATGCAGTAAGTGTACAGAAAATATGACCTTCACTGAACTTGAAAAGAGAATCTAGAGATTCCATAGAAGCCAGTGGTGCAAATCTAAGCCACCAGAGGGATGGGGAGACCAAGACAGGTGACAGAGCAGAGTTCCTGCCAGGTTGAAAAGTCTGAGGACAAGATGTGAGCCAGTGGGGAACTAGAAGACCAGCAGCCCCCTCAGCTGTAGCTGAGGGTGAAAGAAGTGAGCCCAGATGCACCCTAGATGTGGGAACCTGTAGGCTTTTCTGCCGGGCAGAGAGGAGCCAACCCCAGAAAGCAAGCAGCTCAACGGGTCTGACTGCAGGTCTGACTGCATGACCTTGGCGCTGACCTGTCGCCACTTCCCCGCCTTGTACTGAAGGGAAAGGTCTCGTAGTCAAGCAGCACCCCCCCCCCAAAAAGGATGCCTGGAAATTATTTCGGTCCAAGGATTCTTGTGAGTTTCCTCAAGGTGACTGGGGTCCACAACTCCCAGACCCCAATGCAATGGCCGAAAATGATCGGTTGCTCCCGCCCCCACCAACAGCGCGCCTATAGTATGTCCCCCACCCCTCAGCACCCAGTGCCCGGGAGAGACGACGTCCTTGTCCCTCCTGGCCGGAACAGCTGCCTCAGGCTCGCTCCGCCGGCCAATTAGCCAGAGCCGTCGCCACGGCAACGGCAGCTGGCGGGCCGGGCGGCTGGCGCGTCCCGGGCCGCCCTCCCCGCGGCCCCTCCCCTGGGGTGGGGTGCAAGGGGAGGGGATGGGGGCAGAAAAGTCCGCCCCACCCCCACTCCCTCCTCAGGAGGCCAGGGCGCGCGTGCAGAGTCCACAGGGGCCCTTCATCCCCGGGTGTGGGGGTCCCCAGCCCCCTATCCTGGGTCGCACCCGCGCCGCTGCACAGGTTGCGTGCCCTCGGGCACCCTTTCTCTCGAGGCAAGTTTGTGGGAGCCCAGCCGTGTGCCCTCCCTTCCGCGTGCTCACGGCCGGAGGGGGCGCGGCACCCCCCACCCGCACCGCGGACCTTGCCCCCCAGCCTCAGCCCTACCTGGATGTACGCCATTTTCGCCCTCGCGCACTCACTCCGGCCCGGGCATGGCGCCGCCACGGCCACTTTGCCCTCGCCAACAGGGGAGGTGGGGGGAAGGAAGAAAAAGGCAGCCGGGTGGCCCCAGACGTGACTGGCGTGGCTGATGAGCGACGCCCGCCCCTCCGCCGGCCGCCCCGTCCTTGCCTTTCCCTGCGTTCCGGCTCCTGGAGTCGGGGCCGCCTCCCAGGTTGGGAGAGCTGGGGCGCCCAGAGCCCCCGCCTCGGCCACTCTCGCTGTCCTGCGCTCCCCCCGAGGCGCTGCCCTGGCTGGAAGGAGGCCGGGGCGCCTGGGGAGGGAGCCCGGGGCGGCCGCGGGGACTGCAGCGACCCCGGCGCAGGCGGGGCTGGAGACGCCGGGGCCCGGGCGCGCCAGAGGCGGGGGAGGAGATGGGGAAAGGGGTGGGAGGGGGCGGTGCGCGGGTCAGCCCATCCGGTCGGCACCGGGGCTGGCACCTACCGAGCGCAGAGCCCCCGGGACGGTCTTGAAACCGAGGGGGTACAGTCCTGCCCGCCGTGGAGTCTGGGGCGGGGAGGGTCCTCCCCATCCAGCCCTCTCC